TTTCATAAAATAGATATGAGGAATTATTCTTATCATACCAATTTTCAAATTATATATTCTTATTATACCAATGTTCAAATTAATATGAATTAATTAAACTTTACTTAAATTATTTAGGTACTCATTTCTATCTCCTTTTTTTTTGAACTGAAATACTTAATGATTACCTAGAATTACAGTGCTCTCATGTTGTCGTCAAACAATTCATTGTCAAACAATTCATTTAAGGTGGGTCAGAAAAGAACCAACTCTACTGGCTGTATAGGAATTGAAGGGCTTTTAAAACCATAATTTATATACTGTTTTTTACCAGAATAATATATATACTTGCGAAAAACATTTTAATTAAGGTTCCCAAATATTTTTAGACTACACACAGACATGCTATTTTCGCACTGTTTGAAATTATGATTACGTGATGATGAATTGTTCTTTAGTCTCTTAGGTTTGTTGTTCAATCCCACAGAGTAAATAAATTTGGTCTTCTTTAATCACAAGAATAATTTAGTCACGCATGCATAACCAGGAAGAAAATTCAAGGAAAAAGAAAAATAAAGGAGAAGAGGAATTAAGAGAGATGCGTATGATCAGCTGGCCTCCTCTTTACACGTTATATATGTATTTATTTATATAGTCCTCAAAAGCCTATAAAAAAATGTATCTAAATAGCAATCTCCCAAGATTTAGGAAAACATTAAAAAAAAATTCATGAAAGTAATATTTTCAGCTAGGATTCTCGTGCAATAAATCTAAACCTTCCAAAATAAATCTGGGACAAGCAACAACAAACCCGCGAGGAAGTTGCAAGTTCTTATGATAATTTTGAAAGTAACTTAAAATTCGATGGCACAACCGTTTCAGGAATTTGGAAAGGTAGCATCTGAATTGATAAATTTAAATTTAAATTTTAGATTCAAAATTTTTTATTGAATATTAATGTATTTAAAATTTTTTATTTAGATATTATAATATATTTTAAAGATAAAAGAGACATGAGCTAAAATTCAAAATAATAACAGAAGATTTTTACCCAAAAAAAAAAAGTAAAAACAGGAGATTGAAAGTGATAAACTTGCTTTTATTATTCAATCGAAGAGAGAGAGTGAGAAATGAGAGGAGTGAAGATAATAACAAAAGTATAGATAATGAAGACATGAAGAAAATAACAAGGCTCAATAAGAAATTTAAAATTATAATAAAAACATGAATTTGTCTAACGAATTTTATGCATTTAAATGAAAGGCTTAGTTTAAAATTAAATCTAATTTTCACATATTCAATGGAACCATGGATTTTAAATTTTTGGAGATGATACATATGAAAGTGTTTTGATCATAAAAATTATTTGAGTTTTTTTTTTTAAAATATACTCTCTCCGTCAAATTATAAGACACTTTTAGATAAAATCTTATATACCAATAAACCTCATAAATATACTTAACAACTTTATCTTTTTAAAATAAAAATATAAAATTTTAAAAATATTCATCATTTAATATATTGAAAAGAGAAGAGATGAAAATTAATTATAAAAAGAGAAAGAAAAATATTAAAATTAATATATTTAATGAAATCTTAATATACTCAAAGTGTCTTATATTTTATGATAAAAAAACTCTTTTAGTACTTTATAATTTGAGATGGATGAAATATTTTAATAATTTTTAAATATTAATAAAATCTGATGATTATAACTGAATTACTTTACAAATTTATACAAAGAGTATGAAGGAACATAGTAATAGAATCCTTTCTCTTCATTTATGGAAATTGTATCATTGCAGCCTCCATAAATTTTGCTAGAGTAACGGCCGCCCACGGTGTTTCGCCGCTGTTTCTCAAGGGACCAAACTGTCCCCATCAATTTTCCACGAAACACAACTTCGTAGGGGTAGTTTGGTCCATCCAATTAACACATGGAGAAGTCTCTGCAACGGAAGGAAAAAGCTTCGTCCTTTTGTGGTTGAACGCCTACCTTCTTTCTTCCCTTTTTTTCCCAATCAATACAAACCAAAGTCACATGGTTGAGTAAGTTTATTCCACTCATGGATGCGTCTTGGGTTTTGCAGAGCTTAGACTCCCTCTGGTTCTGCTCCAACATCTTCACTCGCATTGACCACCCTCTTTCTTCTTTGACCCCTTCCAAATGCGATTCACACCCACCTGATTCTCCGCTCCTTCTCAATCTCCAAAACGAGCCTGAGATTTCTGAGACTGTGACTCCATTGCCTCGGAAACCTTGTGAACCAGAAACAGAGATGAAAGACAGGGGAAGAAGAAGAAGAAGAAGAAGAAAGCGAAGAAAGAGAACAGAGCGGCATGGAATTACGAGAAAGGTTGGGGTTGAGCTGGGGTTTGATACGAAGGTTCTCGCCGGACCTTCGAAGCTTAATCGACTGAGCTGGACGCTTCCTTATCATGATGAGAACGCAATGAAGGAGTATCTTAAGTCATGGGCTTATGCGGTTGCATGCATTGTGAAATGAAGCAATTGGACATGGTGGGGCAGCGATTTATCTCTTTTTAGTCTTTATTAGGATCATCTTCTGCGTCATTAACAGAAGATGTTTGGTATGGGTTAACTGATTATAAAAATTAAAGCATGATTCTTCAATCATGTTCTGTTCCTTCCAGAATCTGTAAACTTTTCTGCTTCGTAAAATAATGATATGCATTGTGTTATCACTGAGCACCAAATTAAGCTCATGGCCATGCTTGAATTTTTTTTTTTTAATGAAGTTACAAATTTAATCACATCAACATTTACTCTGATTCTTTTAAAGCTTTATCATTTATTCAATATTATCACAACCTAAACTATCCCTTCAATGATAAACTATAAAGAAAATCAAAAACCATGTCATAAAAGATTGAGTTATCAACTTCAATCATGTTTTTAGATAATCTAACAAGTATGTGGATTGATTTGCTTGTCAAACTTTGAACGATAATATCAACATCTTGATTTTTGATTATCTTCCACCTAAGTGTTGCATTTTTATGTCTTGATTTGACTTAATCTTACACGGTTATCTTTGTGTTCAAAAAAAATGTTGTGAGATGTGGGTTTCGAGGAAACCCGAGGGAGCTGGAAGTGGCGTGGTAAAGAGAGAAGCTGGAACAATTTAGGATTGCAGCGATGTTGCGCAGCTTTACACGAGAATGGTACCTGGTACCCCGTAACAGGTGAATGGTGATGCATGATTCATCACTCATCAGGGCGTGCCAGTTTACCTATTGGTTCACATGAAAACTATTTTCGTTTGTTTAAGGATTAAATATAATATAAATATTATTTTCTGTTTTTTATTTTTCCAATAAAAATACATGTCTTGGACGACATGTTTCTTCATGCTTGCTGCCGTGGATTGATGGAAAAAACTCAAGAACCTACCATATTTTTCAGGAAAAATTGTCAATTTAGTTACACAAGATGTATCATATAAAATATTGGAAATTAGGTTAACTTAATCGATTGAATTGATAAACCATTAAACTAATCAGTTCAATGAAATGTTTTGTTTATTATTGATTTGATTATTATTTGAGTATGATCTTGATTATTGATTCTTACATTGATGCACACTTTTTTTTTTTTCCGGTCACACATGAAAAGAAAGAGTGATCGGCCGCAGTTAGAATAGTACAAATCAAGCCTCTTTAAGTGAGGTACGAAACACCATTATTAGAAGAACAATTTGAGAGTTTACGTAGCGTCGAATAACACTCGTTACGTTACGAAATGAAGATGGGACACGGATGTATGAATAATTTCAAATAGATCTCGCTTGAGAGTTTCACAATAATCAAGTAAGTAAATGACATATCAAGTGAGCAGTTGTACTAATGTAAAAAAAAAAAAAAAACGTAAGTCTAACGTGAGATCAAACTTTTAACACACACACACATATATATTTTTCAAAATCAAAGCGTCATTAGTCTTTTAATACTAACACACACTTTGTCAATCATGAGAAAAAATAAATAACCCTTTAAAGGGTGGTAATTTTTTATGATGTCGATCGCAACCTAGACTCACTTAGTCTTTTATTTTGGCCTCTATATCCACCTCCAATATATTGAGGTACCTCACCTTAATCTATTATGCTTTTATTATATTCTTTGATACTATTTATAAGTCATTTTTAATATATTTTTAGATTTAAAAAATTTTAAAACACATTAATTATATTTAATGATATAATAAAAATTTAATGATGTGACTTATAAATAGCATAAAAAAATCTTGTTTTTTTACTTTATAAATGAACTCAGAAGGAGTAAATAAACAAACTCTTTGTTGTTTTCCTTTTTAAGGAACTTCACAAAGAATAAAAGCTTATAACAGTGTTCAATTTCCAAGAGATTAAAAAAGATAGAAAATACTCCCAACTGTAGGGTAATTTTGACTCTGAGTTCAAAATCTATCATTTAATCACATTCTAGAATGTTTAAGCAATTTTTCTGATTTATTAGTATTTCTTTCGCGCGCAATTACTTTTTTAATTTAGGGAACGTACTTAAATTGGTTATCATCAATGAGGGCCCTATAATCATTGTTATCTTTTTTAGTCATTAAATTTTTTACGTTCACATCTTAAGAGGAATTCTGCACTCTCGTTTTGCAAAGAAGTGAACATTGGCGGAAAGATATCTATACAAGTTTTATCATTCTATTCTGTTCACTACGCAATTGCTGGGCTCGTGCACAGCATTTTCATCAATTAGATTCTAACCTAACTAGTTAAACATTTCCATGACTCAAATCGATCTTATGCCTGAGTAATGAGAATCCAGTACGAAAATTTACGTTGGTGATGTCGATAACAACTAAACGGCCTGCAATAATGGCGACGTTCCGATAAACAACACTCATATCAATCCATTTTACCTTTGTCATCTTCTCCTTTGTCCCCTTCACACTTCTCAAATACCTTCCTTTCATCTCAGCCCTATTAAAGCCAATACAACATTGTGAGGTGATCGAACAAGCAGAAATAATGAAAACACCAATCAGTAACGAAAGATCGAAGAAGAAGTTATCGTCCAGAGGCCACCAAAAGTTCGTTGGTGTTCGTCAGAGACCTTCGGGAAGATGGGTAGCCGAGATCAAAGACTCGCTTCAGAAGGTCAGGCTATGGCTCGGAACATTCGACACTGCAGAAGATGCAGCTCGAGCCTACGACGCCGCGGCTCGCGGGTTGCGTGGTGCAAATGCTCGCACCAACTTTGAACTGCCGGGTCAATCTGTTGCAGCCTCCGGCGGCTGTTTTAGGTACCCGCCGGAGAACATGGAGCCCTTTTCGTTCGAGGACGTGCCTGAGGCTGGTGCTGAAGCAGACGGACTTCTTGGCGCTCTCAGGGCCAAACTGTCTGATGATAAGAGAAAGGCATCATCTTCGAAGCCTTCCTCCATTGTTGGCTCTGGTGCAGTTTCGACCTCAACTACTCGTAAGCATTCTGGGAGTACAGATACATCAATACCCACGAATCCCGCAAATGCTAAGAGATCAGTGATTGTTTCAGAACCTGTAGATCCTGGAATCACGACCATGGTAAGCTTGGGTTGGTCCAACGATGCAGCATTATACGGACTGCCATGGCAGTCACAGACGACGTATCAGGATTCTGAAAGCGGCTTGCTTTCTGATGCTGTTCGTGGAGTCACGGCTGCGTGGCCTCTTTCTGACCTGACAAACCTGACATGTTCAGATCATTGTTTATCCAACAGTGATAAGAATGGTCAAACGAATTTGGTGAACTTGCAGGTGAATCAAATTGGTGGAATATCGTCGTATGATCATTGCTTCTGGACACCTGAGCAACTACAGTTCGTGCACAGTGACAACAATAACAGTTGGTTTACCTCAGGTGGCTCTTGGGATCCTCTGACTCTGTTTCTTCTGAGCTCGGTTGACATTTAGGGTTTAAGAGTCATCAAGAGTCTTGATCCATTAATCATTCTTTTAACTTGATCATCTAGATTGTTTGTTTTGGTATGTTTCACATGCATGAACAATAAATTCACCTGTAATTCATTAATTCATCAATTGTTTCATTTATAATGCCATGAATAAAGATTTGTTCTTTAAATCCTTTTGGCTACTTATTAACTGTAGGATGATCAATTATAATATATACTTTGCCTTTTGCCAAGATAGGATGATGGTTCTCAACCATGCATCAATCAATCAATGCATATATAACATTCCTCAATGTACTAGTAAAATAATATAATCTGAAAAGAAAAAAAAAAGTTCTACGCTACAGTAACAGAAATTATCTTCCAGATCGACGTTTTAACTTCATCTATATACTTTATCTATATCCTTAAAATACAGAGCTCAAGTTTCGTTGTTTATGCCCCACCAGATCATGTTTTGGCTCTTCAATATATTAGCCCGTTGAAACAGATAGTAAATACGTTGCTTCAACATAATCAGCCAAAACACTTTAGTATATATGCACAGAAATTCTTTAGACCCACAATTATATATGATATGTTCTTTAATTTGAAAGAGTGGTGATTATTCGTAGGACATATACATAGGAACGATGAAAAAGTTGAGAGGCACAATATTGTATGGCTAATGGAGAAAGAGTTTTGTATGCTGCAAGCCTGTAATCATTTATTTTCAACGTCTTAGTGACGAGAATCTAATTTTTGAGCGATTATATGCTTAATGATCTTTTAAAAACAATGAACGGTCCTTGTTATCCCACAGACACGTTAGTTTCACAAAGAATAGTGAGAAACATGTCAAGTGAACAATACTGCATAATGTCTCAGAAAAGCTGAAAACCCAATGAAAAAGTTAGAAGAATACCTAAAAAGAATTTGTTCTGTTTATATAGTCATTATATAATCGGCAATACATACTGTTCACGAATACATGTATATAGTAACCGCACTTTGATAATCAGGAATTCAGGATGATTTTACACATGCGGAAATTGCAATGAGTCGAAGAATTATTTATTTTATCACATGACAGAGAATATTCAGTTAACATTGTCTTATGCTATCTTTAACTTAGTGGTTGAGGGATGTCCATCGATTCACCAATTGTGTGGGAAAAAAATCAAATCTATTCGGTAACATAATTAGTTTTCTTAGAGATGTTGGAAAATTTTTTCTCTGAATAACTTCATTCTATGAATTTGTTAAACTATAGCTTTCATTGATACACACACACATGTATGTATATTGAATGGAGTATGTTATTAGCGGAAAATCTTTGAAAGGCAATGTACTGATTTCCATTTATCTACCAACATCTGTGACCACAAAAATCACACCAGGTGACTTAAAGGAAGACAATAGACATGACAAATGAATCAGAATCCCATAGCTTATATAAACCCCAGAGCCATAGGGCATATTTACTACATTATAGTCCACTACTGAGATCTCTTATTGGTTTCTTGCTTCTTGTTGAGCACCCAGATCTGACATTTGTTCCATGTTTGCATCAAATGTGAATGATATTTCTGGTACATTTCTATTTGGAGAGATGATCATCAAAGTATTAGATGCCATATACTAATTAAGGGAGGAGAGAGATGCATCGTTTATCAGACAGTCCCACTTACATTATTCTTACCTCCAGGTTTAAAAGACATAATCCTAAATAATCTCGTGGCCTAAATGAGGCCAATGATATTAAGTTCATAGATTTTGAACCAATTTATTAAATCTAAATGTATTTTCTATGATCCGGGGAAAAGATTCTCCAATTATCTCCACGTTGAACACGATCATCTGTCAAAAGAAAGCGAAAAATATATCCAAGTCGGTTGCTTTTTGTATTTGCTGTGATTCGCTAAGTTTGATCTTGCTGCTTTCTTTTGTTAATATAAAGCCTTGACCTCACTCTCTGTTGCACTTCAAACTCAACTTGATCTGATAACGAGAGAGATAAAGGAAAGGAGGAAGGCCTCACACTCAGGCCCTGAAGATGAAGATGGTGAATTTCGAAGAATGGAAACCTTTTGTGGCAATGATGGCTATTGATTTCGCTTTCGCTGTTGTGAATATTCTTCTCGAGGAAGTCCTGCAAGAGGGTATGAACCCATTGGTTTTAGTCACGTACCGTTTGTCCGTTGCTTGCATTTTCTTAGCACCAATTGCTTTCTTCTGGGAAAGGTACGTTCTTCTTGAGATCCCCAAACTCTCTGAACTCAGCTCCCAAAGGGAAATCAGGAATCTCTTGACCATTTCCTTTCGTTTGCAGAAATGGCAGGCCAAAGCTCACGGTTCGAATTTTATGCTACCTCTTCCTCAGTGCATTAGTTGGGTTAGTCAGACATGAAATCTGTTACTTCAGCATTCCTTTTTATCTGAATCAATTTTTCTTCATTGTACCATGAATTGATCTATTGTGTAGCTATGAAACTAGCTAGCCTTCTCGCGGAGTTTCACTTGATCAATTCTTTCTTGCAGGACATCACTCACACAGTACTTCTACCTTCTGGGAATCCATGACACCTCTGCTACCTTCGCTTGTGCCTTCATTAACATGGTGCCTGTGGTCACATTCATCATGGCATTTCCTTTCGGGTATGAACAAAAAATGCACAAGCCTAGGCCTAATGTCTTGGCTACATGAATTCAAATTTAGGTTCAAGCATTATATTAATAGTTAGTTAATACTGCTTTATATTCAAGGCACAGTCAAGGAATGCAAAATAATCTTGTTGCTCTACAGGTTAGAGACTGTGAACATAAAAGGCAACAGAGGGAGAGCCAAGATACTTGGCACAGTGGTGTGCATTGGAGGAGCATTGTTATTGACACTGTACAAAGGAAAGCCCTTGTTCAGTTATTCTCAAAGTGACGCTGACAGGCATATGGTTTCTGCAGTAAAGCTAGCTTCTCCTCCGAGGAACACAGGGAGATGGACCACTGGTGTGATAGCTCTGGTTGTGGGTACGGTATTGTGGTCATCTTGGTTTCTCTTGCAAGCAAAAATAGGAAAGAGGTACCCCTGCCAGTATTCTAGCACAGCTATCATGACATTCTTTGGAGCCATTCAATCTTCTGTTCTTAGCTTGTCCACTTCTCGGAACTCGTCTATGTGGGTTCTCAAGGAAAACATGCAAATACTCACTGTTCTGTTTTCTGTAAGTGCTTCTTTTCCTGTGTTAAATAGAAAACTAGTTTAGTCATCTTGGTTTCCCTTAAACTTTTGCTATTACAATTCATCTCATGAGGTGACACAATCAGAATGACATTGTGCGTGATGTTCAGGGGATGGTCGGATCTGGTTTGTGTTTTGTGGGGCTGTCATGGTGTGTGAAGAAAAAGGGTCCTGTGTTCACTGCATCATTCAGCCCTCTTGTTCAGATAATGGCTGCCATGATTGACATTCCTATCTTGCACGAGCCGCTTCATGTTGGAAGGTGAATGCTTCCACAAACTACCACTCGTAAGTTCACCACATTGGATTATGAAGTATGTGACTGATTGTGTCTGATTCTGGTGTCTCAGTTTGATGGGATCCATCTTGGTGATGGTGGGATTGTACATTCTGCTTTGGGGCAAGAACACAGAAACGCAGAATCAAGAGTGTGTGACTAAGCTATACCAACAAGATGGAGAAATCAGGGGACAAGAACCTCAAATACAACAAATCATAGTCTCCAATGATTAGCGGGGTCCTTCATTTTTTTCAGACCTAATTCCCCTGCAACTACCTTGTGCTCTCATAAAGTTAACCTTACAACATATTCCTTGAAAAAAGGGAAAATTTTAAATGAATTTGTTTCCTCTCTCTCTCTCTTTGGAAAAAAATATAATGGAATAACCTGACTGTTCAATAAATATAACTAAATATTATAACTGCAGTTCTAGCTGTTTCGGGGGTAAAAAGTTCCCATGCTAAATCCCTCTCTTGAATGACCCTGAACTCACCTGGCTTTATAATGTTAAGCATAGAATGGTCCTCATGTATCATAAGCTATTAAACTAATCCAGCTTAAGAAAACGAAATGTTATTTTTATCCTTAATTAAACTGTAGTATGGTCAAAAAGAAATCATTTGGACATACTTCCTCTGTTCCTATATATTCTTAATAAAAATTGATTATCTATTTAAAAGCATAACAATATTTCAGTTTTATTTTTAATTATTATAAATAAAAAACAAACCTCTTTTTCAAAATAAATTGATGAGTATTTTTCTTTTTTTTTTCCTATGTAATAAGGTATAATAGCACATTTATTAAAAAATATGCTGACATGTTTTTATATTTTGGAATGAATTTTTTTTTCTATATAAAGATGGAGAGAGCAGTCTTTATGTTCCTTTTTTTTTTTTTTCTTTATCTCCATTTATTGTAGGGAAGCTTGATACTCCAATAATTTTAAGTTTTTAACCCACCAACTTTGAAGACTTTTAAAAAGCTTTCAACCCAACAATAAAATATTAATTATTATAAGAAGAAAATAATTAATTATTATAAAAAGAAAATTTTGCTGGATAAATATTCAAAATTAAATATTAAATTATTGAAACATTTTAAAAAATAATTAATTTATTTTTTGGATAATTAGTGTGAATCCTTGTACTTATTTCATCAAAATAAATAAAGTAATACTATTATTTGGTCATTACCCCATCATTATGATATTATAAACTTATAATTGTAATTAAGAGACGATTACTCCATTCATGATTAGCACAGAAATGAGGTAAGGAAGGAACAAACAATCAAACACACATAAGAGGCAAATGTGAAGGCAACGAACTCCGTAAGCGTGTTTCCGGGTAGAAATTGCAGCATTGTTTCGGAACTCCACAAACACAGCATTGATCTCAATCAGAATGGTCAGTGGTGGAGCCGGAGCCGGAGCCTGAGCCTTTATTCTCTTTCTTCTTCTCCTTCTTCTCCTTCTTCCTATGCTTCTTCTCGCGGTGCTTTGATCGTGGCTCAATAAATTCCGAGATATCCAAGCGCACACCAGGATCGTTAGCCTCGTAGCTCCCGCCCAGCATCATTGAGTTGTTGATCGCCTGGAAATTGCTGTTCACGTAAGTGCTTAACGCCTCCGGCTCTTCGCTCCCATGAGATTGCGCTGATTTCTCGTCCAATGCGCTTCGCAGAGTGGCGCCGGTGTTGTTTCCCGCCAACGTGATGATCCTAACGCCGCCATCTTCGTCATCCTCCAGATTCTGGCCTGACCCTGACCCGGATGATTTGTGGAGATCCGTGACCCGGTGAGTGATGGTGGACACCATCTCCCTGATTTCTCTGTCCAGTTGCTTGTGCTTCTCTGCATCGGAAGCTGCGGATTGGCTCAGTCTCACTTGTTCTGAAGGCATTTTTGAGATGCGGAAGATTGGAATTTTCTTCTTACGAGAATTATGTGCTGTGTGGGTATGAATTGAAGAACTCCTAGTGTTTGTGTGATTGTTTATATAAGAGGGATTACAGGAGCTATAGCTTCTTGAGTCGATCTTCTGAGAATAAAGTAGACAGAATTGGACTGACTTGAATGGCAATTAAAGAATTATGTTTAACTCAAAGTAGGAAACAAGATAATAAAGGCTGGAGAAGGATTGCTTCGTTATTACTTAATCATATATTCCTCTTCTGGCTCTCGTGCTTTCTTCTTTTGATCATCGTCAAAGGTCGGGAGACTGTGTTTCCTTTCTTTTTCTCTTCTTTTTTTTTTTTTTTCTACTCCCTCAATCTTATCATTCATAACGTTCTACTAAATAATTTTTTAATTATAAAATTAATAAATAGTTAAGATTGAGAAATTAAAGCGAAAATGAAAGTAAAAAGTAGAGAGAGAGAGAGAGAGGGCCTCCTCAAAGCATCACTGTTTTTGGCGTCTCCATCTCAACCATACAGATTTTTTCTTCTACAGTAAATTATAAGTTCGCATATTATAGAATTGCATTACATCGACCAGTTAGTTTGAAAAATTATTATAGTTAAATCGAGTTATGTTTATAATGTACCATTTACTTAGAAGATGAATCTATTTTAAATAATGTACAACTGATTTATAAACATAATTTGTTGCGCGGTTTTGTGTCAAATGCTATTTTACAAATATTTTACACTACATTATCCCTATTTTAATAATCCAAGATTTAAATATTTTGTTTTTGAATAATGAAGATAAAGTTTAGGAAAGATTTAATTCCGTACTTTTTTTGGTCAAAGATTTAATTCCGTACTTTACAATTTGAGCTTAAGAAAAATTATATTAAATCTTTTAGAGCTTCGATTTGTAACATTTATTTTTTATCCTCTAGAGTTTGAATTTGTATAGTGCGAGTTGAAATTTGTACATAATAATGTGAGACTTAAATTTATGTATGTGTCTGTATAATGTTTGTACTCTTAAACTTGCCATAAACATGAACAATTTGAGCTAAGCTTCAAAAAATGGTTAAAATCAAGGAAACATGGACTTTGGGCATGAGCTCTAATGGTGAAAGGGAACTTATAAGGTGTTAGAAGACTCCTTGCACTATTCCTCCCTCCTTGCCCCGCCCACATAAAATTTGATAGTCTAGATTTAAAGTTCTTAATTTTATTTTTATTTTTTATTGATTTAGATTTAATCTAAATGGTGTATATTTATTTTATAATTTAAATTTAATATAGACGGTTCAGATTTTAAAATGTGTTATTTTGCTTCTAATAACCCTTTTGTTTTCTTTTCACTTCTCACCACTAACAAGTGGTATCAAAGTCCCTAGAAAAATCTAATATCACATGTCTAAAAGCCTACATATATAAACACACTTATTTCACTTATGATGATGTTGGTAATTTGACTAAGCATACTGCTAGTAACTTTACAATCTTCTGTGATGATGATTGTCACACCCAAATTGTGCCTTTTCCCAAAAAGGGAAGGTCAATAAATGTAGAGAAATAAGAGTCACCATTAAAGTTTTTAGAAAAACCTTGGAAAACTATATGATAAAAAAAGATGGTTTGCGAAAAGGGTTCAGAAGTTGATTGTGTATGGGAAAAGTATTAGGCATTCCACGATACCTGTTCATAAGAACGGTTACCCTTTTAATTGTATAAAATTAATTGAACTTTTAATAATATCTTAAATACCCTTTAATTACATGTAAAAATAAAGATTAAAAAATGAAAACAAATTATTTATTTACAAAGAAGGACTTGACCTAAGGAATTAAAGTTGTAACAACTTGAATTTAAACTTTAAAAATTTTCACTATTTATAAGGGTATTTTTGTCAAATTAAGTGAATTTTTAATTAATGATGTTTTGGGAGACTAATGTATCTAATGGATCATTAAACGACCTTAAAAGAGGGTTAGATTAGAGTTTGAGTAGGTTGTGGCACGGAGAAAGGCCCAAAACAAGTTTGAGGTTCTTTATGCCATGTGTTGTGGCAGATGAGCTAATGCACTATAGTGCACGTGCAAAATCTACATTTATTAGCTCGCAAAATCAAATAGAAAATAAGAATTGGGATAGAGAGAACACGGAGAGAAGACGGTAGACAATCGATAGGTACTAGGGCTTGACCTTGGAGACATATTAGAAGCATTTGGAGCAAGATTTAACTTTGGATAAGCTTCCTCCACTTCTCATTCTCCCTCTATTTGAACTTTCTAATGATTTGGTTGTTGTGGGGCTTTGATTTCGTGTTTTCTTGGATAATGGCTGAACTTATTACCTTAGTCAAAGCCTTGAAAAGTTAAATCAAGCCTCTAAATCTGGATTTATAGATTATACAGTCATTTGGAGTTGTTGGTTAATGTTTGAATGAACTCTAGGTAAAAATTAGATGATTAAGAGTAATGTGAGTAATGTAACGGTGTTATTTATGTGTTAGGGTGTTAAATATAGTTAATGTAGTGTGTTGGAAGGATTGTTAGGGCTAAAGTGAGGTTTTGAGCATAATGTGTACCCTTAGTTGTATTATAAAATGGGGTGATTAGTATGGAAATTTGACAATTAAGGTTTAATTGTGTAGATTAACCTTTGATCGAGCATTGTGATGTAAGTGGATGCATGTAGAGCTGTTGGTTAACTATAGTAACCCTTTTAGTGACAAAAGGATTGAGGCAACTGAATTGTCTAATCTTCCTTTTTATATGTTTGGATGGTAATGTGTTTGATTTAAAAGTAATGTTTTGGTTTGATACTAGCCTAATAATAGTATGAAATTATGATTGTGAAGTTATGTAAAGTGGAATGAAAACTTGTTTTAATGCTTTTGTATTTGGAAAGCTAAATGCTATCTTTATGTATAACTACTTGCGAAATTCTATGGTTTATATGAAAATGAAAAATTGTGATAATTTATATATCATGACTATATGTTAGATGTATTAAGTATGTTTGGCATGATCATTGTAAAAGGGCGAGAGTTCACCCTAGTATGTTGTCAAAACATTGTTTGGAAATCTATATAGTACATGGCACCATAAAGGCCCCAGTGCTTAATATCATATTGTTTGAAAGTTCCAATACTATAAGTGATAGATTGGGCATTGACACTCCTAATATTTATGGACAAAGGATATCTATAGTTCATGGTGGGCAAAGGCGCTCTTGGCCGGGGTTTCCTCCTACTAGTGGTGAGTTTAGACCAATCTAGTCACATGAACATAGTCCTATCAAACTTTTAGCTCATAGATTAAATAGGAAGACATAAGGAGGGTATAAGGTGGTGTGTTAATCATGCATATCATACTATAACCATGTGTGAATTTATAAGACATGTTATATAATTTTTTATGCCACTTCACATACGCATAAATTATTTTCACACACGAGTAGTTGATTAGACTATTGGATCATTGAGTCCTCGACTTACCCCGTGGTTACATTTTACAGGTAAAAGCTCTAATAGGGGCAAGGGAAAGGAAGGTGCAACCGAGAGCATCAAGGGGACTAGCTCTTAGTTATATAATCATTTCATTTCTTTTGGGTTTGTAACAAATATTATATGCATATGCCAACTTAGGGCATATATAGTTTTGTGATACACTTGCATGAATTTTGTTATGAACTGTGGATATCTCAGCTTGGGTTTGTTATATCTGTGTTGTAATGGCCATGAGAAGTTGAGGTACTAATGCAAGTGTTAGTTTTGTATTAATTTATATGATTTATTAGCCATTAGATTATTTATAAGAAATTTTTACTCCTAATGAAATTTATGTTGAAAATGGGGTTTTGGTGGCTAATTCTTGTCTTGGTTGTTATTGTTGTGACTTGAATGCTTGAATAGGTTGTTTATTGTCTATTTAAGTTGGTTCAAGTGGTTCCATGGTTATTGGCACTTGGATTAGGTGTTTGGGCACGTTAGTTATAATTTTTGAAAGAAAATGAGCCATTTTGGGTTTGGGTATCTAAATCTTATTTGGCTCAATATTTGGGTGTAGGATCGGTGTTAATAGCTAAGTAGCTCTAAGAGCTACATATAAACGCTTGAATTGCTTGAATTGAATGTTGAATGGCAAAATGGCACATTCTAGAAGTTAGCCCGAAGAGCTGTTATGATAGTAGTTTGCTACCATAACATTGGTCATGCACTGCAGCGCAAGGCATAGAGAAGGGGCATTCCCCTTTGTGCAATCCATCGTGACAGACGATGCACTGTGTTGCGATGCACTATGCCGTTATGGCTAAAAATATATTGTTACTTATTATTTTATAGCATGATGAATTTCCCATGCTTTCGTTGTTTTATTTACTTGGTTAAACTATAGTTTGAACTCAAATGGCTTTTTAAAAAGGGTTTTTCTTGGGATCCCATTTTGCTCATATGCTTTTAACCCTTGGGTTATGATAATTAATTATAAGATTAATAAAATCTCAGTTATCATAATGTTATTCCGTGTTATGTATTTTGTCTATTTAATGTTAAAGATGACGTTATAAAAATCCACATAGTTCAAAAGTATTATTAGTTAGATTTTTTTATTCTTTAATTTTTTATGAAAATAATATTATTTTTGGGTTAACCTTTATTATTATCATTGTACAAAAATTTAACTAGCATTGGAGCTTGCAATAATTTAGTATAACTCATAATCTATTGGTTGATGCTTTAAGTGTACATAGTGATTTAATATCACTCATAGCAAACCTTAAAGGGATTTTCAAAGTTAATAATTTAACTATGAAATTTTAATGCAAAATTTGATACTTATAATGAATTAGTGTCATGCATGGTATCTCTTTTGATATTCTTGGGAATCCACGATAATTTAATATCACTCATGACATAACTCAAAATATGCTAAATGTAACACTTGCCTTGAGTGTTATCCAAAAATCACATAATTCAAACAAACTAAGTGTGGTTAAGGAGTTGATCCTCTAACCAACTTAAGAAATAAATCATTTAAAACCTTAAAAATAATTATAGGTTCTACCTATAGCGCACGGAAGCAAGTTAGACGAAAATGGAATAAAAAGATGCTGTCATGACAGTAATTTATTGCTGTCATGACAGCCCTCCTGG